CATACACATCATACACTTACTATCCCTCCCAGTAACTTTATATGCTCCCCTCACACTCCCGTTCCTCTTTTCTTGTTCGCTACCGCCCCCTCCTGCTGCGGTACAGTCATTACAACTTCATGAGCAGCTCCTCACCTCTTGTTCTTGTGGTTATTTACAGCATCACAGAGGAGTTGGGTTGTAACACAAAGGAGCACACAGTGTACAGATTGGACTTTGTTTTCTTCACAATATGAAGACAGCACATAAAGAAGTTTCAAGAATCAGCTGATCAGACAAACGTCTCTGTGAAAAATATAAAGACATTTCAGTGTAATATTCTAAAAATGTAATTGTTTTGTGTGTCAGGAGCGCTAGTGTTCCAGCTGAAGAAGAGACCCCCAGACTACCAGGGGAGGAAGGGCAGGAAAGTAGACGACAAGGGCCTGCGAGGGAAGGACAGCAGCAGCTCCCTACCGCCTGAGAAACTGCCTTACCTGGTGGAGCTGAGCCCAGGTAGAACCACAACACACACACACACACACACACACACCATAATGTCTGCTCCAGTATCCGTGATGTCTGGGCTCTAGTATCTATCAGTCGTATTTGTAGCAGTAGTGGAAGCAGGCAGCCGTGTAGCTGCAGTAAATAACTTTTAGGGTTACTCAGAGGTGAGGCAGCCTTCCTCTCTCTGCTAAGGTGAGTGAATCACATGTGGCGACGTTATGGATCCCAGCTGTTCTGTGGTTTCTGTTCCTACCAGCACAGGATTTCCTCAGTATATAAAGCCACTGCAGGAGGTCAGGAATCACTGAACTCTATGTTGAAGACGGATGTGTACAGTATGCTGCCACTGCCTGACCTCCATTCAACACTGCAGCTTCATTCTGAACCCTTGAAGCTTTCAGAAAGGATGTTATGTTATTTATATTATAGGCCACAAAAGAAGCACTTAGTCAATGCTCTTATAACTCTTACCACTACTGGTCGTAGTTATACTATTTCCCCTTCAGGCAGGTATATATTGATTAAGATGATTTAGAGAAGAAGATGTTTCAGTGATATTGAACAGATGAGCTAATACACATACATCTTTGACTGAAAATAGAACTTGTGAGTGGGAAAATGGAGGAAATCAATGTTTGAATTAGATCGAGCAGGTTGAGAGACTTCGAGTGCAACAAAAGGTAAGTTGCAACAACTAAACTCCTGGAATGCGGTAAAGAAAAATCCCAGTATGGAGACATTATTGTGATATTTGAACCTGTAGGAGCATTTGGGAGATGAACCTTACCTGAGTCTTGCTAAATGTGACTTTATCCAGCCCTAACAGCTTGTTTCTTGCTACTGACCCCTCTCTCTTTAGCTTGCTCCTTGTCTGTCATATGCCTCATGCTATTAACTGATCTGGCCTGATGGTAACCCAAACACCTCTCAGTGCCAAACTGGTTTGAACAGTAGTGGGCTGAAATGGTGTTTGGGAGCCAGTGGGTCTGGTCCTGGAATATACTAACACATCTACTTCATCCACTGTCAGGTTGACAGGCTGGAAAACAACCCAGATGGGAAATTGATTTGGTGGTTCCTAAATAATGGCTGCAGGTTGTGTGTGTGTGTGTCTGTGT